AACAACCATGAATTGTGTTGGTAGTGCATGAGTGGTTTTTTTGTAGGGAGCAGGAGCATGAGCTTTGGCTGGAGAGGGAACAGAGAGCTCAGCTGGAGTTTGAATACAAGAAACGAGTGGAAGCGAAGAAACAACAGGAGAGAATTGAATTAGAGGTTAGCTATAATTTAGCAAGGATTCCGATTCCTGAAATATTCTATTAGGAAGGCATGAGAATTTTGTCTTAATTCTATTAGAATGGTATTTATATTTCATAAGGATCCTATTATAATTTTTATATTTTAATTCCTATAAGAAATTTCATTATTTTATTAGGAATTTTATTGGAATTTTGTAGTTTCTTACAGCAACATTGTAGGAATTCTAGAGTAATCTATGAGATTCTAGTAAGATTCTGTAATGATTATATCACGTGTGAGTAAAAACATTTATTATCGGTCTTAATTATATCATAATTCTGCAAGCAGACTGTCATACCTGTACGCAGTAGCTGCTTTACGAGTGGTGCCGGCATGCAGGCATGATTCCCTCGCGTGCTGCGTCCCTGCATTGTAGTTGTACACATCCCTATGCTACTGCGGCTGGTACACGTGCTGCCATCTATTGTAGAAACAAATAAAGAAAGAGCTTGAGGAGCAGGAGCGGGTCGAGCAAGAGAAGCGGGAAGCTGCCGAGAGGCTGGAGAAGGAGAAGAAGGAGAAACAGGTGAAGCCGCCTCACAGACGCAGTCTTACCGATATCCACCCTGTGGCGTCGCCGTGGTTACGCCTGCAAGCGGCGTCACGCGTTCATCTCGCGTTTTTCCGACTTCGAACAAAATTCCTTGACGAGTTTTCTCTCGCATTGTTTCCTTGACTGCGCGGCGGCAGCGCGCGATAGCTGGCCAGACATCATGCGGGGAGCGTACAGATCTGCCACATCGATGCACATCGATGAGATTACGTGTATCTTTTTGTGGAAACTCTTAAGTGGGATTCATAAATATATGCACCCGTGCGTGCGTGTGTGCGTGCGTGCATGCATCTGTGCATACGT